GGCAACTGGTCTAGGAGAAGGACAACCTTCCGGCAACTCCTGCAGCCACGCTGGTACCAAACTATATTGGTTTATCCTCTCCTTTGGACTCTGCTGACAGATGGCTGCCACGAAAATGACGACCTTCTCGATGTATGACAGGTTCAATGAAAATGAATAAACTGGGTCCAGTACACGTGATTTGTATTAATTGTATTACTTGTCCTTCTATTGTTCTCCTTTCTTTCTTTTGGTAGGGGGTGATAAGACTCTTCCACCATCACGTAATATATTTACAACTGATTTTTCGGTTGTCATTAAAATAAAAATAATGATGGTCTACGAATTTCTTTGATAGAGCATTGTCATTAATATTACTTTTAACTTGTCATTCTTTCATGTTATTGCTGTGGCTTGTATACGTAACATTCGAGTTGTAGTAGTAGACTTAATAGTCTTAAGTTACCTATATTTTTAAGTGCCATGTTCTTTCAAGGCGGAGGCAATCATGGCTCTCCACCTCCCTCTATATCTTGCAGCTCTCAACAAGTTCCTCCTCTTCCCTCCCTCTTCCTTCCCTCTTCTCCCTCCCACAGACCACATTCTGTCATCCACTTGCTTAAGTCCACCAGATATGTAATGCATTACATTCTCTTGTCTCTCTTTCCCTCTATTCGACCCGTGAGTATCAAATTCTCCAGGACCTCCGTCCTAATTATGTGTCCCAGAAACTTCAGCTGCCTCTTCCTGATATTAAGTATAAACCTTCTCCTTGTTTGCACCCTCTCTAAGATCGTTGCTCACACGCTCGGTCTATGATATCCTTAGCATCCTTCTGTAGAACCACATCTCTGTCGCCTCGAGTCTCTTCTTCATCTTTGAGGAAATCGTCCAACATTCGCTGTTGTAAAGAAGGACAGATGTAACGTAACAGAATTCTTTTCTTCGTTACCAAAGAAATCCTCCTGTCTTCGTTACCAAAGAAATCCTCCTGTCTTCGTTACCAAAGAAATCCTCTTGTCTTCGTTACCAAAGAAATCCTCCTGTCTTCATTACCAAAGATTTCCTCCTTCTTCGTTACCAAAGAAATCCTCCTGTCTTCGTTACCAAAGAAATCCTCTTGTCTTCGTTACCAAAGAAATCCTCCTGTCTTCATTACCAAAGATTTCCTCCTTCTTCGTTACCAAAGAAATCCTCTTGTCTTCGTTACCAAAGAAATCCTTTTCGTTACCAAAGTCTTCGTTACCAAAGAAATCCTCCTGTCTTCGTTACCAAAGAATTCCTCCTGTCTTCATTACGAAAGATTTCCTCCTTCTTCGTTACCAAAGAAATCCTCCTGTCTTCGTTACCAAAGAAATTCTCCTGTCTTCGTTACCAAAGAAACCCTCTTGTCTTCGTTACCAAAGAAATCCTCCTGTCTTCATTACCAAAGATTTCCTTTTCTTACCAAAGAAATCCTCCTTCTTCGTTACCAAAGAAATCCTCCTGTCTTCGTTACCAAAGAAATCCTCTTGTCTTCGTTACCAAAGAAATCCTCCTGTCTTCGTTACCAAAGAAATCCTCTTGTCTTCGTTACCAAAGAAATCCTCCTGTCTTCGTTACCAAAGATTTGCTCCTTCTTCGTTACCAAAAAAATTCTCCTGTCGTCGTTACCAAAGAAATCCTCTTGCCTTCGTTACCAAAGAAATCCTCCTGTCTTCGTTACCAAAGAAATCCTCCTGTCTTCATTAACAAAGATTTCCTCCTTCTTCGTTACCAAAGAAATCCTGCTGTCTTCGTTACCAAAGAAATCCTCTTGTCTTCGTTACCAAAGAAATCCTCCTGTCTTCGTTACCAAAGATTTCCTCCTTCTTCGTTACCAAAGAAATCCTCCTGTCTTCGTTACCAAAGAAATCCTCCTGTCTTCCTTACCAAAGAAATCCCCCTGTCTTCATTACGAAAGATTTCCTCCTTCTTCGTTACCAAAGAAATCCTCCTGTCTTCGTTACCAAAGAAATCCTTTTGTCTTCGTTACCAAAGAAATCCTCCTGTCTTCGTTACCAAAGAATTCCTCCTGTCTTCATTACGAAAGATTTCCTCCTTCTTCGTTACCAAAGAAATCCTCCTGTCTTCGTTACCAAAGAAATTCTCCTGTCTTCGTTACCAAAGAAACCCTCTTGTCTTCGTTACCAAAGAAATCCTCCTGTCTTCATTACCAAAGATTTCCTCCTTCTTCGTTACCAAAGAAATCCTCCTGTCTTCTTTACCAAAGAAATCCTCTTGTCTTCGTTACCAAAGAAATCCTCCTGTCTTCGTTACCAAAGAAATCCTCTTGTCTTCGTTACCAAAGAAATCCTCCTGTCTTCGTTACCAAAGAATTCCTCCTTCTTCGTTACCAAAGAAATTCTCCTGTCTTCGTTACCAAAGAAATCCTCTTGTCTTCGTTACCAAAGAAATCCTCCTGTCTTCGTTACCAAAGAAATCCTCTTGTCTTCATTACCAAAGATTTCCTCCTTCTTCGTTACCAAAGAAATCCTCCTGTCTTCGTTACCAAAGAAATCCTCTTGTCTTCGTTACCAAAGAAATCCTCCTGTCTTCGTTACCAAAGATTTCCTCCTTCTTCATTACCAAAGAAATCCTCCTGTCTTCGTTACCAAAAAAATTCTCCTGTCGTCGTTACCAAAGAAATCCTCTTGCCTTCGTTACCAAAGAAATCCTCCTGTCTTCGTTACCAAAGAAATCCTCCTTCTTCGTTACCAAAGAAATCCTCCTGTCTTCGTTACCAAAGAAATCCTTTTGTCTTCGTTACCAAAGAAATCCTCCTGTCTTCGTTACCAAAGAAATCCTCCTGTCTTCATTACGAAAGATTTCCTCCTTCTTCGTTACCAAAGAAATCCTCCTGTCTTCGTTACCAAAGAAATCCTCTTGTCTTCGTTACCAAAGAAATCCTCCTGTCTTCGTTACCAAAGAAATCCTCTTGTCTTCAAACCAAGAAATCCTCTTGTCTTCATTACCAAAGATTTCCTCCTTCTTCGTTACCAAAGAAATCCTGCTGTCTTCGTTACCAAAGAAATCCTCTTGTCTTCGTTACCAAAGAAATCCTCCTGCCCTGCTTTTGGAATGCGTCCCTGGCCATCCCAATACGTCTACGGATCTCAGTGTCGCACTTACCGTCCTCTTTCAAGACGCTTTCCAGATATTTAAACTTCTACGCATACTTGATTCTAGTGTCTTCGAACTTCAAATCACACTTCGGGCTCATCCTCTTGCTGATGACTATACATTCTTTCTTCTTGTAGTTTATGCATAGTCCTTTCTTCTCACTCTCCTTCGCTACCTTCTGTCGGAGATTTTGTAATTTATTTTCCTAGTCTGCTATCAGCACTGTGTCATCTGCGTATTTTATGTTGTTAAGATTGTGGCCACCAATGTTAAATCCCGGTAGAGTTTCCAATTCTCTCAGAATTGCCTAGCTGTATAGGTTGAACAGGTCTGGTGAGAAGACGCATCCTTGCCTTACGCCCCTTTCTATTTTTGTATATTCAGTGAGCTCATTCTCTATGTGCATGCATGTTGTTTGCTGCCAGTATAGGTTCTCGATTACTTTGATATCTTTCCCGAATATATCGGGGTTACTGAGTAGTTCCATCAGGTCTTTGTGGCGTACTTTGTCGAAGGCCTTTGCGTAGTCTATGAAACATAGGTACAGGACCTACTGCATCTGTATCGCTCTTTCTGATAACAGTCTGAGTATGTTCCTTGTTCCGGGGTCTTTAAGAAACTCGCACTGTTCTTGTCCTATCTCTGGGCTGATTCTGTTGCGCGCTCTATTCATTAGAATACGGATGATGCGTTTTGTCACGTGGCTTAAGTTTTCTGAATTTCCGAAATCAAACATTGCCATTGTTTAGACATGTTTATATTTCATATTAGTACATTTTAAACCTTATTGTAGTTGTAATAGTAGATATAATAGTCTTATGGTGCGTGAATTTCTTAGTTCAAGCATTATCATTATGTGGGAAAATAAAATAAAATCAATAAATAAGATAATAATAAAAATAATAAATCATAAAAAAGGAAAAGAAATGCATTTTCGCTTAAAGCTAGAAATAAAGCAACCGTAAATTTTATTATCCCACTCAGCTTCATCAAACACCCATGAAGTGGCGCTGTTTAAAAAGACAAATATTTAATTCTTCTACCTCTTTTCTCCCCCTTGTGCCAAGATATATCAGGCGTACACGAGGATGTTCCTACTGGGCTACGTCGTTTCCTCCGTTCTACTGACGACTAAACTTTCTTTCTACATTCCAACGCGTAGTATTCGCACGTGTCTTACAAAACCTCTACCTATGAAGTAAATCAAACTTCTCTTTGGTCGTTCCAGTTTAGCGCAAGGCCGACTTCAGTTCGACCATTTATAATCATCCCTATCATGATTTGCCTGAACTTCTGTACAAGAAAAAGTAAGTCTCTTCCACTTTCCAACGCACAGCGTTCACACGTGTTTTGCCAAAACTCCACCGATGCAATAAGTACAACATTTCTTTGGTCGTTCCAACTCAGAGTAAGGATGACTTGAGCTTGACCATTATAAGCATGCCGTCACTTCCCCGTTGAAGTAAGACATGTTTTACTTTGATCGTTCCAACTCAGCGCAAGGTTGGCTTAAGCCCAGCCATTATAACTACCGATGAAGTATGTAAAACATTTCTTTGGTCGTTCCGACTCAGCGCAAAGCCAACTTGAGCTCAACCTTTATAATGAAGCTTATCTTTACTTATTCTAACTTCTGGACAAAAGAAAAGGAAAAAGAAAATAGGCATACCAAAGAGACATTAAGAACTTTGTTTCACTAGAGATTTTATATTTAAAGGAGAAAATAAACTGTCCGTAGTAGAAACCAACGATTTTGTTGCCAATTATTGTCTTTCTTTCATAGTATTACTGTTGGCAGTTTAAACATTATTTTAGTAATAGACATAACACTCTTGAGTCGTTTCAATTTCTTTTCAAACATTGTCATTATTATTACATTTTCACTTAGCTTTCTTTCAAATTATTTCAGTTGCCGCTTTATTTTTTTTATAAAGCAATTCACCCTAAGCAAGGCGAGAGTGCCACTAGCACGCAAGGTGTTACAGAGGATTGCGAACAAGAGTAAAGAGGCGTATTTGAGGTAAGGATACAGAGAAGGACGGGGAAGAAGATCAATGTATCAGATGTCGATTGACATTACACTTGATTTGAAGATTATAGTTATCAGGGAAGCAAGTAAGAGAGTTCCACAGACGGGAAGTGCGAGAAAAGACGCTGTTTGAGTAGAAGAGACGGTTACATTTAATCTTTTTGACAATGAAAGGGTGGTACCGAGATGCCAGCCTGGTAGCTCGCTTAAATTCATGCAGTCTGGGAACCGGCGAAAGTAGCTCGTCGGAACAGTTGCCGTGAAAATACTTGTACAATTGTAGAAGAGACAGAGGGAGGCCACAGCACGTCTGTGATAAAGCGACTGTAGACTAGATGCCAGATCAGGAACTATCACATTGCATATTCGTCTCTGGATGCTGTCGAGGACCTCGAGACGTACAGCGGAAGCACCAGACCATATATGACAACAGTATCCCATACAAAGACGGATGGTTGATTTATAAATTTGAAGGACGAGAAAAACTTTCTGGCACGTCATAGAGAACAAATTTTTCTTGCGATAGATGAAGCTACATTAAACGTTATTGTAATTGTATTAAATTAAAATTAGTAAATTTTCGAATTGGTAAATTTTAAATTAGTAAATTGTAGTAAATCTTAAACATTATTTTAGTTGCAGCTGTAGACATAACGGTTTAATGTTGTTTGGATTCCTTAAATCAAACATTGTCATTATTGGCTCTCTAAAATTCCCTGTCTTTCGTTGCTCTTAATAAATCTAATCTTTTTGTTTTCTCTCCTAAACCTTTTTCCCGCCATCCATTTACTCAAGCTCTCTAGGTGGGTTATGCATTGTTTGCCTCTGTCCCCCTTGCCTTCAATCTGACACGTGAGTATCAGATTTTCCATGGCTTCTTTTCTCATTATATTCCCTCGAGATTTCAGCTGTCAAGTATAAGTGTCTTTGTGTTTCCTTTTTCTCTAAAACTTCGCCGTTGCTCACATGTTCGGTCCACGGTGTTCTCAGCATACGTAATAAAGTCACATTCGCAGCATGCTAGGAATCCGCCATTATTATTTATATTTAGGTATGAACGTTGTATTTAGTGTCTATATGGGTTTAAATAGACAGCTTTGTTTTTTGATGTTAAGGGATCCACCCCTTTTTCATACAAGTGGACTCGCCCAGTGTGTACTTGTACTGCTGCCAGTGAATACCCGGAAGTGATATAGTGATATAGTGAGAGAGTGAGAGTGGGAGGTAACCGCTTTGTAGGAGTCACAGTTGCGAGCACGTAGACTCAGAAGGAAGTCCTACTTCGATACTGAATTTCCCAGACTGTATATATATTATTATTGCTACTAACCGCATTTCTGGATCTACTAACCGTATTACCAATTTTATTATTACGTCAATACATTTATTTGCTATATTTCATTCCTGCGTTTGTCATTCATTTTGAGACCGGATTTCATCCCGGAATCCACAACATTTGATAAAATAGATATAACTACTCAACAAATATACCCAAGTAATAGAACATTTATAGCAGGTACGAGCAACCCTATTTTTAGCAGTGGTCTGCATGATCTATGATTCATCACAAGACGGACCTCACTACCAAAAATATTCAGTGTAATTTTTTTTTAGTAGGTACTATTTTTACTATGGAAGACCATATGCATAAGCATATACCTTAGAAATAGGGGAAAACATGATTTCTTTTTCTTTGGAGAAAATCTTTTCCTATAATTAAAAAAATGAATATTCGGTAAAATATTCTCACCGATGACAGTGTGATTAAAACATGTCGTTGCGTGTGATTTATTTCTAATTTATTCATCGGAAAATTAAAACATATATTTCTTCTTTAGAGAAAAATATTACGTTTCAAAAGTAAAGGATGTTTACATGTATGATCTTCCATAGTAAAAATCGCCAATAGCTTAGAATAATAAAAAAGGCATTTTCATCGAATGTTAACAAAATTCAAGAAATATTACATTAATCATTGTTTGTGTATGTGGTTATCTGTGAGAGAGTGTGTGAGTGAACAAGTGAGAATGAAGCAAAATTTTAAGAAACGTTCCTTTCCTTCTGAAAATTAGCAGATTATTCAGAAAGAATAAGAAACTATCGTGTTTATATATATATATATATATATATATATATATATATATATATATATATATATATATATATATATATATATGTATGTATATATGTGTGTGTGTGTGTGTGTGTGTGTGTGTGTGTGTGTGTAAAATATATAGGAAATAGGAAAGTTTTTAATATTTTTGTTATTATTTTTTTAAAAATAGTGCTCGATACAAAGTAGAGCATAAATATAATTATATATATATATATATATATATATATATATATATATATATATATATGTATATATATATATATATGAAATGGACAAAGTCCGACAATTATTTAAAGACATTTTTATGTTTAACATTCTTTTTATAGATACAACTATTTAAGTAAATGCTTTGTTTATAATAAATATTCAGGCCGGTAAATGTTATTTAATACTGTTTATTATAAACAGAGCATTTACTTAAATACTTGTATTTGTATCTATAAAAAGAATGTTAAACATAAAAATGTCTTTATATATATATATATATATATATATATATATATATGTGTGTGTGTGTGTGTGTGTGTGTGTGTGTGTGTGTGAAATTAGAAAGTCAACCGATTACGCTACCTTGGTTTCAACTCTTCGGTACCCTCAGGCGATTTCGATCGATCAAATGATTTCCTAACTTAACTCTTTATTTTTTAAAAATAAAAAAAAAATATGAATGCTACATTAAAAAATGAACGAATAAGTTCACGACGTGTGGTATGGTAGAAGGTGAGGAGAAGGGGGACTCAAGTGTATTGGAAATGTATCGGTGGGGAGGGTTAAATGAAATATACATACGTTCTTTTTATCCCACTTCAAATGAACTCAAAAGGAACTTTTTAGTATGCATAGAACGGGTATAATTTCCTATGTCTGGTTCTAAAGTATTTTTTGCTATGGGAATGCTTATTATAGCTAATTTTTCTTATTGACAAAGTTTGCAGATATTGCCATGATTTTTTTTTTTTTTAATTTTTCCAGTTTACTATCTGATCTGTTTTATTTTTCTCCTTTAATTTCCACAGATGGTTGGATAGTTTCTAAGGCGTCCGAGTTTAAAAGATGACTTATGATTGTACCACCTCCTTTTAAATTTATCTCAGCACACCCTATATATATTTTACTGGCCATTTGTATCTATTACTTCTGTTTTGTAAATTACAAGGTCCATCTAATGGACATCTATTTTTATTTCTTCAGTTGCATATTTCACCGTTAACTATGTTTTGCTGCACGTTATTTTTTAAATTTCTGGCATTTCGTCTTCTTATTTTCGTTTCTAAATTACTAGTACACTGTAACTTAATTTAACTGTGTTTTATTAAATATTTTATGTAATTTGGAATTTTGGGGGAAGTGTTTATTAAATAATTTAAAAAAATATTTTCCCTATTTTACACTTGACCTCTAAGTTAAAAGGCGCGGGTTTTTAAACCAAATAGTTTTTTTTTCTTTTCCTTGAATTGTTCTTCATTTGTTGTTTTATTTGATGTTTAAATTCCAGTTTGTTTTTATACCCCTTTACTTTTAATATTCATTTTTATCATCGAAAATTATTTTACGAGAGGAATTTCTAGATAACCTGGACACTATTCCTTTGGGAATTTGTTTTATTATACTCGGAGTGTAATTGGATCTAAAATTCCCGTATTTTAACACTGCCAGTTTGAGGTTTAATTCTACATCCAAATATTTGACAATTTTCTTATTTATATCGACTTCTATTTCAAAGTCGAGTCTTTTGATGAGTTTTAAAAGCGTTTTTCTTATATTGTCATTAGTTCTTTTGTTGTTTAGCACTACCATCAATTCGTCATCCCTATACAGGCCGTGGTTGTTAATATGTACAATTGTGTTGATTTCATATAAAATACGTAGACTTATTAATTCTGAAACCTCAGCATTATCAAACGAATGTTGTGGTACATTAAAATCATCCTTTTTTGATTTTTTTAATCCAAGTTCCTCCATTTTGGAATAAAATTGATTTACGGCAATGTAAAATTATATCTATAGCATCCTGCTACTACTTTTCTGTCAAAGTCAAATTTAGTGCAAAATGTGGATCAGAGAGGCTAGATATTTTTCTCACCTCTCATTGGTCAGTTAATATTAAAATCATGTTCTCGCCTACGTCCGTACAAGGCCTACGCGCTATTCAAAACAATTTTTCCGCCAAAAATAAGAAATGTTCTTTCGAGCCGATCACGTGATTACGTTAATTATAAATACCAGACACAAGTTCGTTCTTCCTTCATTTTGATTTCTCTCGTTTACTAAAACATATTACGAATATTCAACTACGAGTAATAAATACTTAATTACAAATATTACGAACATTACAGACCATTACAAGCATCAACATATTGCGAATATTCAACTAAAAGTAACAGAAACTTAGTTACAAATATTACGAACATTACAGAACATTACAAGCATCAACATATTCCGAATATTCAACTACAATGTAACAGAAACCTAGTTACAAATATTACGAACATTACAGACCATTATAAGCATCAACATATTACGAATATTCAACTACAAAGTAACAGAAACTTAGTTACAAATATTACGAACATTACAGAACATTATAAGCATCAACATATTACGAATATTCAACTACAAAGTAACAGAAACTTAGTTACAAATATTACGAACATTACAGAACATTACAAGCATCAACATATTACGAATATTCAACTAAAAGTAACAGAAACTTAGTTACAAATATTACGAACAATACAGAATATTACAAGCATCAACATATTACAAATATTTAACTACAAAGTAACAGAAATACAGAACATTACAAGCATCAACATATTACGAATATTCAACTAAATATAACAGAATCTTAATTACAAACATTACAAACATTACAGAAAATTACAAGCATCAACATATTACGAATATTCAACTACAAAGTAAAGGAAAATTAATTACAAATATTACGAACGTTACAGAACCTTACAAGCATCAACATATTACGAATATTCAAATACAAGTAACAGAAATTAAGTTACAAATATTACGAACATTACAGAACATTACAAGCATCAGCATATTACGAATATTCAACTAAAAGCAACATAAACTGAATTACAAATATTACGAACATTACAGATCATTACAAACATCAACATATTACGAATATTCAAATACAAGTAACAGAAACCTAATTACAAACATTATGGAACATTCACTCCTTCAACTCTTCTGAAGCTAAATGTTTATCAACATATTTTCAGCTTTCCAGAATTCTTTCAACTCTCTCCTTCAGTGAACATTTTGAGCGGCAATTTCATTCAACCTCGTATGAGCTCAAATATAAATATATTTTAGTAAAGACTTTTACCCTATTAATTATGCTTATATATCATTACATGCATAAATATAAAATGAAGATTTTTTTTGTTATAAAAACCGTTTTGTGTTCCCTATTGTTTCATATTTTGTCGTATTTTGCGTTAAATATAAATTCTAGATGTCACCCCAACTAACATACATTTACATGTCCATTTGTTCAGATGTTATATTTTTGAACTTCTTCGGCGAAATACAATGCCTCAAGAATAATTTTATAAATGGATAAAAGTTTTTCATGTCGTATTTTATAAATAAAGACTTATCTTTGTGATTTTGTGGAACCAAGAAATCTACTCACCTGTATTTTTCCTTGTGTAGGGATCCTTAATGAATCGCATATTTATTTTGAGTATTTCTTGTCTTATTTTACCGAATTCAGTTTAGGTTGGGTTTATTAGTCTTTAAAAGGGGTCAGCAACTTTTTGCTAAGTATGTTCCGACTTAAGGTTTTAAAATCATTCAGTGTGCCAACAGCATACGTATTATTATTTTTTATACAAGTCAAGGTCATTATACCTGTTCTACAATATATTTAATATAGTAATATATGCAACTAGCAGCATGGCCCGTCGTTGCCCGTGCTTGTTTCAAAAATCGTACGACTCATAGTGCAATCGTTATCACTTGACTTAAAATGTTTTTGCCCTTCCTTGCCTTTAAAGGAGTACCTTTTGCCGTGCTGATGTTGCTACATGCTTTACTTCTTGCCTATCTCACACTGCGAATTTTTTCTAAGCTCTATAATAAACATTAAATCTGTTACGAAAAAAGAACTAAACAAAATGAACACAAAACGATCAGATTTAAAAAAGGACTCGTAACTGGAAAAACCGAATGAGAAAAGAATGTTAACAACAAATACTTTTTCACACCTAACCCATTTCTGCGGAATCAGAATCAATGTTGAGTTTAAGCAAGTGAATGAACCAATTGGAGTAAAGTGCCATGCAGATTTAAATTTTTCCAACTTGTGACGAATGCAGCTATCGATTTTTTTTGCATGCTAGTTAATATTCGTGTCATTCAGCTGTTGGCTCCCACGCTAGCCAATAGAATCTTCCTGCCTATTCGTGGCAGCCAGCTATAGGCTCTCACTCTGGCCAGTACAAAATGGCGGCAAACTACATGAAAACTACCGTAGAAGCATGAAAAAATCGATTATTTCCATTTTGATGGGAGTTAGGAAATGCAAAGTCGGTCTTGGCCTTTCTGCTAACTTGGAGCATGTGCATGTAAATTTTGGTGCAAATCCGTTGAAAATTGCGGCTGTGCATTCGTTACACACACACGCACATCTTATCTTTTATAGATAGAGATATGTAAACCACATTAACAGAAATAAACTGTTTTAAAAGTTTTTTTCAAGTTTTTGTTATTAATTAGAGACCAACGTGTGAGCTGTTTTGAAAGCTAAATTTCTTATTTTATAATTTTGGGGATTTTAAATTTTATAATACAACAATAAATGGCATCCTTCCTTCCGTTTTTGCTTTTCCCCTCACGTTAGATAATGTAGGATACAAATGTGGTGTAGTGGCAGGGGTCGGCAACCTTTCGCTGACTATGTGCTTACTTAGGGTTTTAAAATCATTCAGTGCGCCAACAGCATACGTATTTTTATACAAGACTACAATATATTTTATATAGTAATATATAGTATATATTCTTTAGTATATATTAAAATTGAAACAGCTAAATATCTTTGAGTTATAGTAGTTATTGGTTCGGAATTCGCGATATCATTTGAGGCTGCGTGCCATTGGAAATTGCTTGGAGTGCCAAGTGTGGCACGCGTGCCGTAAGTTGCCGACCCTTGGTCTAAAAGAAAGAAATTTGTCTTCATTGTCCTTTATAGTTAGAAACACTTGCTTATAGTATAATATATTTAGCCTGTCACTCATACCTAGTTTGGCTGTGATATTTTTCGCCTCCTTGTTTATAATTTTATGACTTTGGTAAGTTTTAGTAACTGCTTCCTTTATTTTTTTCTGGTATGTCTCCGGGTTCATAGTATAAATGTACTTTGTTTTGTCTTCTTTAACTAAGTTGTTTTTTAGTTCTTTTTATTTTTTTTTTTTTTTACTTCAGTATTTAGTAGGTTTTGGAAATTACTATTAACTTTTGTAAATTTAATATTGTACATCACACCAAGCATATCATTTTCGAAGATAGCCAGCTCTTCAATAACAGGTGGGTAATTTTTAGTTTTGAATTTGAATTTTCGATATTTTCTTGTTTCTTAAATACATACTTACGAAAATAGTGCTTGCCATTTTATACTGGTAAGGAACTGCTCATTTCTTTTGTAATAAATTTAGAATATTTGGAATAGCAATATTATTTAGTGAGTGTGGTATTCTGAATTCTTGCATTGCAGTTTCCACCGTAAATTATGTAAACAAACGTCTTGCGTTCGAAAAAGCAAAGCCTTACAATAATCATGGCAATATCTGCAACCTTTGTCAACAAGAAAAGTTAGCTATAATAACATTTCCAGACCAATAAAATTCTATAGTATCAGTGATCGGGAATTATGCCCCGTTGTATACGTACTAAAAAGTTCTTTTTGAGTTCATTTGAAGTGGAGTAAAAAGAACGTATGTAAATTTCATTTAACCTCCCATTGATACATTTCCAATGCACTTGATCTTAACCACCTTCACTCGTCCTCCTCTTCACCTCAGCCCACACCCCACGTCGTGCGCTTATTCATTCTTTTTTTTAAATGTAGCGTTCATTTTTTAAAAATAAAGAGGTTGGAAATCAATTGAGCGAAATCGCCTGAAGATACCAAGGTAGCGGAATCCAGAGATTTCCTTATTTTCTATACTTGAAACCTCTACATGTCAAATTTTTATCTTTTTACATGTGTATTGAGAACTTTTTTAATACTACTCTTTGTTGCAGTTTTGGGGGTATTATGTACTAGTGAGTTAGCAAAAATGACTTGACTCACTTTATAGTCCCCCAATAGAATGTTAACCAATCAGAAGACGTAGAATATTCAATCCGTCGTGTATAAAGGCGGCCATTTTGTTTACTCTATCTGAATGTCCAGTGCCAACTTGTCAGGCGAAAGAACAGAAGGAAGAACTACTGAACTACGCTCTGCTACTTTACCGGGATATCAACTGCTAACCTGAACTACGCTTCCCTACTGTCTTCGAAATATTCGCTGCTAACCTCTGGATTCTATACTCGAAGACAACCGTCATCATGAACAACACTCTTTACTAGTCTAATTCAGTTCTGACTTTTTACTTCTTATATATATATATATATATATATATATATATATATATATATATATATATATATAATTATTTATATATTATATGCGCGGTACTTATTAGAAAGCGCTCAATATCAGAGATAGAGCTAACATATTTGGTTGGATTGATGTGAGTTTGTGACCCTGGATTTCACGCTTTTGCGATCGTCAGACAAACTGATTAAATTTTTTTAAATTTGGGTTTATGTAGATTGCGTGTATTGGTGTTATTATTGGGGTGGGGGTGGGGGAAATTGTCGTCGTGATGCTATCGTGCTCTACGCACACATAGATGCATGTCGGTACACTCGATGAGGTACGCAGACACACATACACACTTGTTCGTCCGCCGATGTGGACAGTTTGGGATTTGACATATGTATGTATATGGGTGGTGTTTGTGTCTATACATACGCAAGTAATCACTTGATAAGACACCGGGAGTGTTGAAACAAAATGGCTATATTTGTAGTGATTTATAACACGTTTATGTTATAAATTTTCTAAATAAATAATTATATATATATATAGAGAGAGAGAGGGTGTAACAGCAAAATTGTCCAAATCGTGTTACTACATAATTATCCATCCCACAAAATGTTTAATGTTGTAACCTAGGGAAAGTTACTGAATAGAATAATCACATGAAGGTTGGTAATGAACGATAATACTTAGGACAACGCATATAAGATTCGCCAGCGGCGCGTAGAAGTAGTCAACTGCTAGGGGTGAGTCAAGTGAATTTCACAATGAATCTCCAACTGCAGACCAACATACACTATTTTCTACTATATTTATGTGAATGGGGACATACCCATTATAGTCCGTAGGTATGTTACAACACTTAATATCTAAAAAAAAACAACTAAACTAATCGAGTTTCTTTTTACCAGGATTTCAGATAAGACGTTTAGCCATCTTGACACCATTTGTCGTAAGAATCACTGAAAAATCCTTCTTGAGTTATTCAGCTAGAAAGAGAACAGGTTAAAATCTATTTGTGTCAGTCCCACCATGTCTTCCTAAATAAGCAATGGTGAGAGGAAAAAGATCATTCAGTCCTTCAGTAACTGTACCATCATTGATACTCTGGCTTCCATCTTCAAAGTCTATTCAAGAACTATCAAGAGAACAATGAATAACTTTGGGATCATCATTTCAACTTAGATCTAAAGAGATCAAATAGTAAAGATCCAACTCAATCCATAAGACGTTTGGCTCGTGTGAGAGGAGTTTCGGCTATGACAGTCCAAAGAACAGTGAAAAAAAGACTTGAAAATGAAACGTGTGAAGCAATTTGTTACTTCAGGACATATAGCTAGAGAGAGCGTGGATCATCTTGAAGATGGAAAATGATCCTGAAATAATATATATATATATATATATATATATATATGTGTGTGTGTGTGTGTGTGTGTGTGTGTGTGTGTGTGTGTGTGTGTGTGTGTATCAGTCATCCCATAAGTTCTGTCCGAATGTTGAATAAAGAAAACAAGTAACTAAATGTTACATTTAATTACAGATTCAATCAACAATGTATTTTCCCTGATTATCTATGACTTTCTTCCATCTATTAACAAGCTTACTAATTCCATTACTGTAAAATTCTTTTGGATTTGATTCGAAGAACTCACAAATGTCAGTTTTAACCTCTTCCTGTGTTACAAAAGCTGTTCCTTCCAAATGATTCTGTAAGCTACGAAACAAATGGTAGTCTGAAGGAGCAAGATTGGGAGAATAAGGTAGATGAGGAATTTTCTCCCAACCAATCTTTTGTGACGTGATTCTTGCTGTGTGGGGTCGCACATTGTCCTGATGAAACATCACCTCTTTTCGATTCACTAGAGCAGGTCCTTTTCCTCAAAGTTTGGTTCAAACGCTCTAATTGCTGACAGTATATTTGAGCATTAATTGTTGTATTAGGTGGTAAGAATTCAAAGTGGATTATTCCTTGGCGATACCACCAGATTGAAAGAACCTTTTGTCCATGAAGTTCTCTTCTAGGCTGTGGCTGGGGTCCTTCCCTTTTACCAAGCCACTGTCTACAACGCTTAACATTTCGATAAAAGATCCATTTTTCGTCGCTAGTCACAAGTCTATCCAAAAAAGGTGAAACATGTTGGCAAGAATGGAGAGAAGAGCAGATGTCAACTCGGGATTTGAGGTTGTTTTCAGACAATTCGTGAGGCACCCATTTTCCAAGTTTAGGAACTTTTCCAAGTTGTTGAAGATGACGATGAACAGTTGTATGGTTTGAACTAAGAACCACTGCCAATTCCTCAACTGATAAAGCAGGATTTTCTTCAAGGGCTGCTTCAATAAGGTTTTCATCAAACTAGACTGGACGTCCGGTTCGATCTTCATCTTCAAGGGTGAAATCTCCACCTCTGAATTTTGCAAACCATCTTCTTCTGCAAATTCTTTCATTCACACATTCCTCTCCATAACCTGAGTGAATCTTTCTAGCCGCTTCGGCTGCTGAGTTTCCTTTCTTGAACTCATAAAGCATTATGTGCCTCAAATGATTCTTGGGTACTTCCATGTTAGCAGGGTTTTAATCAAACAAAATTTAATTTTATTGTTCTCTTAAATAAAATGTGATCAGTTTAAATGCATCTAAAAATAAAAATAATGTTCATCTCCATTAGACATTATAAAATACTCTTTAAATTTCGTTCAATTTAACAAAAAGTTCAAATTCAGACAGACCTTATGGGATGACCTGAGATAGATAGATAGATAGATAGATAGATAGATAGATAGATAGATAGATAAACCTAGTGAGCCAGACAAACCTACCCAGGTTTCACCTGAGCGGATAGTCAGAGAAAGCTGATAAAATATCCATTTTTCGTCGCCAGTCACAAGTCTATCCAAAAAAGGTGAAACAAGTTGGCTAGAATGGAGAAAAGAGCAGATGAGCCAGCTTTCCCTGACGATCCGTTTAGGTGAAACCTAGGTAGGTTTGTATGGCTCACTAGGTTTATCTACGTCTGCTCTACGGTTGTATTGAGCTCTTTTGTTAGTTAGTTGTTTACTCGTATCGGGGTTTTTTATTTGGGCTTCAGACCTGCATCTGTGCGATTTTTTCGACGGACTTTCATGTTTGTAGCTCTTTCTTTTTTTAAAACTTTTTTCCCTCGAGATTGATTTGATTATTGGCAAATCAAAGATTCGAGGGTTTTTCAAACGAGTATAGTTACTTATATATATATATATATATATATATATATATATATATATATATATATATATATATATATATATATATATGAAATTTATTTCAATCCTTCATGGGCTTCCAATCCATAGCTATGATTAATTAAGGATGAACATGTCATTTTCGTTCATGATCGAATTCATCGCAATTCTTCTGTCAAGCTTGGAGAGTAATTATACATTCTTATTGCTTAAAGTAGAGTCCAATAAAGTTATAAAATCCTCGGAGAATTCCATTACGATAATTATGCTGTTGCATGATTTGGACAATTTTGCTATTACACCCAGTATATATATATATATATATATATATATATATATATATATATATATATATATATATATAAATATGTGGTGTAGTTCAATTTATATTACTATTATTTAT